TTTTTTTTTTTTTTTTTTTGCAGACACCTTAATTAACACATGATATGCTGCCTTCAAAGGGGAGATTTATATGCAAAACAAAAATAGGAGATTTATTTGGATTTACATTCTATTTTTTTATTGTATTAAAAAAACGGTAAAATAGATGTAATTAATTAACACATGATATGTGGCCTTCAAAGAGGAGATTTATATGGAGCCACAAAAATAGGAGATTTATTTGGATTTACATTCCTTATTTTTTATTGTATTATTAAAAAAAAGGGAAAAACATATGTAATTAATGAAATTGGAAAAAAATCAGAAAAAACATATGTAATATAATTAGGCAATAATTAATGAGAGTATGTTAAGTTACACCTCATTAAACGGCCTTCAAAGAGGGATTGATATTGACCCACAAAAAGAGGATATTGTTTTGGATTTTCATTCCATATCATAAAAGAAATAAAAAAATCGGAAAAGAAGATGTAATATAATTAGGCAATAATTAATGAAAGTTTGTTAAGTTACTATTTTTGGGCAATAATTAATGAGTTTGGCGGGAAAAGATTTTAAAAGTGAATTATGTTAATTCTTATTATATTAATAGATTTTATATTTTATATATGTATTGATTTTTATAAAAAAAAAAAGATGAGGGGGGCCCTAGGTCCCATGTACCTCCGTTAGTGTGCTAGATAATTATTTAATTACCAATACTATTCAAATAACCAAAGAAACTAAATAAAATGATAAATAATACTTAGGAAATAAATCTACTAAAATACGAAGGCGATCATATTTATTCAATAATGCAATTGCAGTATCGTCTCCAACAACATCTAAGTTGTTAGATTGGCCAAACCATTAGACAATTGTTCACAATTAATATCTATATAAATACTTTCACGTTGAATGTTAACACTTTAGAAAATAGTATAAATAAATAATATTACATATATTTTTTATAGAAAAAAAGGTAAATCGACTCATATTACAGTTACAACACATCACACAAACATTTATCTACGTATATATATAATTACTAGCTGATGCATTTAATAAAACATTTAATAAAACTTATTTTCATTTTTCTTCAAAAAGAGTTAAATTTTTTTAATTAATTACTCACTAATCTGCTAAAACCGTTACACCTTAGTATATTAATTTTTATTATTCATTTTTTGGATAAGTTATCAAATTAATTCTAAATTTGATAACAAAATATTCAAATGTGTAACGGCTACTGTTGGAACTTAAAGTTGATTGACACATTCAGAGCTATAACCGCTATATTTGGTTGTATTGTTGGAAGAAAAATATGATTGACATATTTTTTTTTTCTAAAAATTAGAAACACCAATATTTTTTTATTTATGTTAATATTCTTAATATATGCCACATATATATAAATTATTTTATTCATGTTACTAATGTAAACGTTGCATGATTAAAATAAAATTTAAATTTCAATTAATTTTGAATGATAAGAATAACTTAAAAAAATTAATAATTTTTATATGATAGAAGTACATGTGTAATTAATAAATACAAACAAAAACGTGTTTTATATCTGTACAAATGCATAAGATCAAATACTAATGTATTATAAAAACTCGAAAAAAATAATGTTTTTTTTTTTTTTTTTTGACAAGTATAAAGGGCAGTTCCACTTATTGACGTGTGAACTTTTACAAATAAAGTAAAATAAGACATTAGAATAAATAAAAGATGGGAAGAAATTAAAGTGGGGGAAAAAGTTATTGCAGTACCACTACCATTTTAGTGACAATTTTCTTGTCAAAATATATGAAAAATATATTTTGATGTCACCAAATGTAATTAAAAAAAAAAAAAAAGAAATCCATGCTCAAATTATAACAGAATTTTATTAATTAAATGAAATGGTCCAATTGGTTGCTTGAAAAGAAAATTAGAAATGATTTATAAATGAGATTGATTGGTGACAAATAGTACCCAATATTTAACTAAAACTTATATAACATTTGACATTAATTTTAATTTTATTGTCAAATTGATAAAAAGATTACAACTCATTAAATATGCTAGCAATTCACCTGGCATTCAGGACAATAATCTGCAAGACAAGATGATACATTGAAAGAAAACACTTTGACAGGTTCTTTTTAATTTTAACTGAAGAAATCACGGCAGATGAAGCCTTAATTAAAAAAAAAAAAAAAGTATACTAATGTCAAAATCATTTCTTGGAACTACTAAAAGCAGGCCCTGATTTTGTACTATTAAGCTAGGCAAATAACGTGAGCATGTAAAGAAAAACAAGACAAAAGAAATGAAAGATGGTAGGAAAAATCAATGTCAATGTGAAAAGTTCTTGACATACCAATGCAATTCATGTGACATTCCTTGTCAAATATTGTGATTGTTAGAATGTTAATCGTGTGGGTTGTCCTACGTCGTTCATACATGAAAATTGGCACACCTTATAAGTTTAGTAAGCTACTCTTTCTTCCAACAATTGGTTTTGAAATAGAGCCACATTTGGGCTTTATCTGGACTTCCCGCTCATGATGCTTTATCTGGACTTCTCGCTCATGATGCGCTTCGTGTCAGTGGATGAACCAATTTTATAATTTGTAAAACTTGAAGTCTATGATTAATTTTGTTAAGTTTAAGTAGTTTAAAAAATTGTGTAACTTAGACTATCCTTATCTCCAACAACCCAACCCAACCTAATAATTAAAAATGATTTTTCTACCATCCACCTACACAACCCAACTTTACAACCAAATTTATCTTTATCACTAACCCAACTCAAACTAAATATAATATTTATTTTAATTTATCTAAAAAATGCAATTGTGCTCTAAAAAATATCAAGTGTGATCTCTATTTGCAGATAATGAAAAAATATAAATTTTAGTAATTTTTATTTTTTATTTTTAATATAAATTATTCTCTAAAAATACAAATTAAATTTTATCTTATTTAAAAAATACACTTGTCCAATAAAATTTGGACAGGTGTTCCATAATCATCTCACAACTGGTTGTGACCCTAGGTCACATTGTGACCTGGGTCACGCAAGAGTCACACATTTTATTATTTTTTTTCTTTTTTTTTTTAGTTTGTCTCTTGTCTTTTGTTGGTGACCCAACCACGGGGTCATCGATAAACACAGTCTTACATGTTTGTCTGATACAATATCCACTTACAATACATGAGAAGTAAAAGGAATGTTTCCTCAGCACATCTTGTTGGGGATGAACTAAAAAATTACACAATTAAACATCCACAATGCTTTTGGTTCAACTACAAAAAATTATATGTCACCTAAAAAATATATCCTTCAATGCAAATAAAAGTAGATTGGGTCCTTCTGATGTGGCAGCCAGAAAAAGAGACTCAGTCTAAGTTCAGACTCAAGTAGTGATCTAGTCTCTTTGCATTGAAGTGAATTTTGTTAATTTTACATAGTTTTATCCATGTCATCCAAGACTTGAGTTTATTTACATGCCACATTGGCAAGACTAGACTCAATGCATTGTAGATGCCCGTAAGTAATCAATTAACTTGAGCCCCAACTCTCTCTCTCTCTCTCTCCCAAATCCCTAGCCGCAGCAGGTTCTGGCCTTCTCCAACGCCGCCTCCTCTCCACGGGACCCTCCGTTCAGCCCAGTTCCAGCCGCCGCTGGCCGTGCAACTCGCCTCTCTTGGAGCCGAAGACCCCCCCCCCCCCCCCNNNNGGGCGTAAGTTTTACCATTTCTGCCAAGTCACCTATGTCAGCTACACAAGGCTTTTCGAATTCCGAGCCGAGCAAACTCGTCATACCCCGATCCGCCTCCCCAGTGATGGCGGGATTGAGGTAAGACTTCCCTCCTCTCTCGTCGTCGGGATTTAGGCTTGTTTGGGTGGATGGGAGTATGGGTCTGTGGTGGCGAGAATTGTTCGGAAGGGTGGGCGTGACTCGTGAGGCTCTTTTGGCTGGTAGGTTGTGCGGGTATTGGTGTCGATTGGAACTGTGATTGATGTCGGTGGGAGAGGTGGGGGGAGCCGTCAGCCAGCCTCTAGTCTCTACTCTAGAGGCGGTCCGTCTGGGAGAAGATTTTGGTCGTCTGGTGCGGTTCCAGCTAGTTGTGGCTTCACTGGAGTTTTTGGAGCAGTACTTGAGCCGAAGTCCTATCCGAGTTGGCGGTTGTCTCTGTGTGTCGGATCTTGGTGTGTTGCGAATAGTCTCGTATGTGGAGAGGAAAGTGTTTTTCAATTTATTTGGTGTTATGTGTTGTTTTGTTTGTGTTGTTTGTGTGATGCAGTGTTTTATTGTTTTGTTGGCTTTTTTTTTTCTTTCGTTTATTCTCCATTGTAGGAGCTGAATTATCTCTAGTGAGATTTGTGTAGTCTTTTTAGTTGTTGTCTTGTGGGTGAGTTAGAGTAGATTCTAGACGTCCGTCGCATGGTTCTCTCAATAGATTCAACTAGATAGCTGTTTGGCTTATTCTAGTTGTTGTCTAGTTGTACAAAAATACTATGAAACAATCGGATAGTCTTCTTATGGAGTCATCCACTACATAATGTATTGGTGAATAAGTGTGGATGATTCCATAAGTTGAGTCATCCGATGGTTCCATAGGAAAATTGTCTAGTTGTATGTTGTGTTTGATTGTTTTATATAAAATCTATCTGTCAGAAAAAAAAAAAAAAAATCAAATTACTTAAGCACTTCCAAATTATCCAAGAAATATCCAGTATAGAATGGCCACCAAGAAAAAACACAAAAACCTAATAAAAAAAATACTTCAATTAGACAAAAATGGAACAAACTATTTAAATAAACAGTCAAAACATTCCATACATTTTTTTTTTTTGCTCTGCAGATACAAACTTCAAACACAATATTAACTATATTGCCAGACAATCCTTGAAAAAAAGCAAGCGGGTGGAAACAAATCCATCTCAGCCATTTCTTGCCTTTAAACAAAAGGAAAAAAAAAAAAATAAAGGACTTCAAAAGTAAATAGCCACTCCTCAAGAGCCCCTCATTTCAAATTCAAAAGAGCCAAAAGGACCATCCTAAAATTAGCCCCCAACCAATTGGACCCTAATAACACCTAAAAGAGCCCAACTTTTACTTACTCCAATAAAAGACACTACTACTTCATAGTTAATACTACTAATTACTAACATCCCCATCCCCTTGTTACCTAACTTCACCGGAATTGAGCTCCGCTGTACGTCTGGCCGAACGACCAGCCGGCAGGGGCCGCATTGTAGGAGATGAGCGTTCGGCCGTCGCCTGTCGTGACTTTAAACGAGAGGCTCTGACCGTTGAGAAAGGCGTTGCTTTGCCAGTTTTGGCCCCAATTGCGGGACATTGGCTGCCAACCGGTCCTCGACCCTTTGATCCAGACCGAGTGCACGTCTCCAGCCCCGCCTACATTGGTCACGAGGACGAGGTTGAAGTAAGAATGGCCGTTGATGGTGAATCTAATCCCACCCCTTCTTCTGCAGGCAACCCTTCACAAAAAAAAAAAAAAAAAAAAAAATATATGAATTTAGTAATTATAATTAGTGAAATTGAAATGGTTGATAAAAGTAATATGTATAGTTTGAAATTAGTGTGAATGCAGCAAATTGGTTTGACAGTGACTTGTAACAAGTTGATTGGAAATTATGGAACCACAAGTACAAAATTTCAACAGTTTTTGTTCCTCTTGTATGATATATTGATATTATACTTAACTACAGAGGTACCCTAAATGGGAAATTTTGCATTTTTTGTGGAGTTGAAGGGTCAATTTGCTAAAGCTATAAGGGTTGGTTTTACAGTTTCAAGTTTCCGGGAGGGCCCTATTGAAAATTATCTTCAAACAAAGGAATATACAACGCGGAAAGTGCTACGGTACCGTTACGGAACCATTCTGTCGAGGGTTTGTAACCATTAGATCATTACAAATCCTGACCGAATGATTCCGTAACGTCACCCGTAGCATATCCCATATAATAAAATTTTAGTTACTCAAACTACCCAAAACAACCTTATTTGATACTCCCAACAAAAATGTCTTATACTAACTAAAAATTCAATCTTTTTTCTTTCTTTTTAGCCAACTGGAGTAATAAAAATTGGATCTTTTTTCATTCTGTTTGTTACCTTCTGTAAGCAACGGGGACAATCCCAGCCCTGTACTGCGCAATGCGCTGGAAAACGGGCTGAGACAGGTCAAAGTGGCGGAGGGGTGGGTTGCACCACCCGCCGGCGTCGTTGGACAGGGCGTTGTTCGGCGGGCAGAAGTTGGTCGCCGTCACCCGAATCGAGCCGGGGAGGCACGACTTGCCGCCGCCGGCGCACCGGATCTCGTAGCAGGACCCGCAGCTCAGCCCGTTGTTGAAGAGGGCTGTGCTCAGCGCCGCCGTGTTCGTGCCGTAGCCCTGGCTGTACAAATTGCCGTACCCGCACGCGCCGCCTGCTCAAGAATTCGCAGAAAATTAACATAGTGACAAGGCAAAAAATGCAAATTTCAAGATGGGTTTATGTTTTTTTGGGTTTAATTTGAGATTAATTATTTTAATTTGTTTAGTTTGTTTTTGGGCGTACCCATAGTTCCAGAGGCATCACTGCCGCCGTAGAAGGTTGCATGAGCGTCAGTCCAACCGCCGCCATAGCCGTGAGCTCCAGACAAAATCGAAAGAAAAACAACCAAGAAAACCCCTGAAAAATCCATTCTTTTCCCTGTAAAAAAAAAGTTAATTCTTGAGCTAGAGAGAGAAAAACAGGGAGAAGTGAAGAAGATGAGTGAGGAGAATGAGAGGGAGCGTGGTTGATATAAATAGAGTGTGTTTGGGGGCACAAAACTAACTGAAATTTTTTACGAGTGTACAGCTGCTGGGGACCATAAACTGTAGGCGTAGGGTTTTATAAATTTAAAGACTACCAAACAGGTCCTACCAGGTGGGTAAAAGGGTAACTTCAGTGCATGCTTTGCTGATTTTTGTCTATTTCCATGTGATTTTGTAGTGTGTTTATTTAAATTAATTTTATTTAGTGGTTTTACTAATTTTGTAAATTATTCGGTTTTGTTATAAGGTTAGACATGGCTATGGGTCGGTCGGCCCGGTCCGGACCGAATCGGCACCGGCACCGGCACCGGCCCGGAATCGCGTGGGCCTATGAATCGGACCGTGTCCATGCGGTTCGGTCCAGGCTGGTTTCGGTTTTTCTAATGGGTCAGTTGTTTTTTATATTTTTTATTTGTTTCTTTATTATAACCCGGCGATTCAACGAACCGTCGGGCTGAACCGGCCCATAAGAATTGCCGAGCCGGTTATGAGCCCAACAATTGAGGCCCGCCGGGTCGAGCCGGGCCTGGACCCGGCACCTGGCCATGTCTAGTTTTATATAGGTTAAAATTTGTCAATTGGTAGTAAGCATGTGCAAAGCAGAAACACCATTTGGCCAAAGTCGCAATTTTGTATAAATGTTGATGGCACATTTTCTTATGTTTTTGTGAAAATGAAAATGAAATCTTCTTTAACTGTTCATTTTGTTTTTGCTTTCGGTTGGGGACTTGACAGTACTATAAAATGGGGACCTATTTGAAAGGGGCGGATATTGTTATTGGGTTTAATTGGAAAATATAGTCACTATCATGTGTAATATAGTCACCATGTTTAAGAATTAATAATATTAGCCAACAACTTTAAAAATTTTAGTGTTATTACCCATGAAGGACCAATCTGATGGCTATTGTACCAACCATTAGTACGGTACGATTACATTCAAAATACTGGATTTACGGTTATACTTTTGTACCGGAATCATACCGTAAAAACCGCAAAATACCGGCCATAAAAAATTAAATTAAAAAAATAAAATTTAAATTGGTAGTTAAAATATTTTATTTTTATCTCATTGAAAAGTTAAAAATATCTTTATCTGAGCTTGGGGGGCGATTTGGGCGAAATATCCTCTTCTGTGACTCTTCTCTTCCGATTCTGATTGACCTCCTCCGGCGGCGGCGAGGCCGGATATGCGGCCGCCGCTGGCCGCCCTTCCCTATTCTGCTGAAGCTTCTCCTCAATCCATAGCCCTTCGTTTATTCCTTCTCTAGTCGTTGGTGGTGGAGGGACTGGCGGTGGTTCCCGGTCTTAATCCGAGCTTGAGGTTGCTGCTCGTCGAGGTAAGGAACCCTGACGGTTTGTTCTCCTTATTGGTCTGGCTGTTCGGTGGTTAGGTGCAGGGTGCGATTTGGGGTTAGGGTTCGAGTGGGGTCCGAGGTCTCCGGCAGGATGTCTGTCTAGGATTGTCTCGGCCCGTTCGGGTCACTGGGGTTGTGGTGCAGTGCATTGGTCGGAGCTTTGGTGCGATTTGCAGGGGTTTCGATTCTTGTCTGGTGATTGGTGGTTGGGACGGGTGAGAGAATGGAGACGGCGGCTGTGGTGGAGCGGCGAAGGTGGTGGTAGGGGGGCCCCGGTGATTGCTGTGTTTTGTGCGTGGTGGTTGCCGGGTTGGGGTTCGGGCTGGAAGCGGCTATCCCAGCGCATCTCTTGGAGTTGCTTGGGGTCCGGTTTTCCTGGATTGGGCTAGTGGTGTTAGCCTAGCTAGGGTTGTTCCGGTTGGGGTCGCTTGATCGTTCTCCTCGGTCAGTGGGTTCTGTCCTTTGGGTTGGGTTCGGGGGCGGGGTCCTGCCTCTTGTTAGGCCTTCGACAGTTTCGGGGGTGGGGCTTGGCTAGGGGCCTTTCTTAAAGGCAGTTGTAGCTGCTTTTCGGTTTAGTCGGTTCTCCGGGGGTGGGTCGTTTTTATTTTGCTTTTTATTCTATCTTGTAGGTTGTCTTTTTATTTTGTTTTGTGTGGTTCGTCTGTCTTTGTGTTGGAAATGAATACTGGCTAGGCATTGTGCAGTGGCTATGTTTTTCATTTTTCCTTCTTTTCGTTTGTGGAGTTCTTTAGGCCGCTATGTGCGTGTCCTCTCAGTTTTTCCTTTCTTGTTCGTTTAGTAGGCGTGTTTTTAGTTTGGGCCGTTGGCCCCTGTCTCATTACCCTGTTGGGGCCTTAGCTATTACCCTGTTGGGGTCTTTTCTTATTACCCCGTTGGGGCCTTAGTTATTACCCTGTTGGGGTCTTCTCTTATTACCCCGTTGGGGCCTTGTAGTTTGTAATTTTGCACTTTTGTGCCCAGTTATAATACATCTATCGTTTTGGAAAAAAAAAAAGAAAAGTTAAAAATAATAATTATGGTCATTTATTTTTTATTTTTTTTTACATTTGATATTATATATTTTTATGTATATTTATATATATCATTATATTTCTAATCCGGTAATGTCACCAATATTACCGGTCCGACGGTAATATCGTGTACCGGTGGCTAGACCGATATGGCCACCGATACGGTATTTGAAACACTGGTTGCCACTGCGTAAAAAGATACTAACTATATATATTTTACAATTTATCTGTCGAATTTGGTTGGATTTGGGTAATAATCTCGAAATTTTGAAAGGTGTTGGCTAATATTGCTAATTCATAAAGATGGTGACTATTATTGCTACTGCGTACAAGATACTGACTATATTTTATAATTAGCCTTGTTATTTTTCTTGTTATTAATTTTCCATTATATACAATATCCGGGTTCATGCATCACACGAAATTTAATAATTAAAGTTGCGATTGTAGATAAATAAATGCTTATATTTGCCTTTGAAACATAAAATGTATTATTAGTAGCATATAAATTTATATATATATATACATAAAAAAAAAAAAAAAGAATAGGGATAACTTTCTCCGAGAAAACCTATGTAAATTATTGTGGCTCAAATGATGTATTATTGATGTTTCTTAATAGAACTCAATCCAGGTTTGAGTAGCATCGTTCCAGGTTCGATTAGATTTAATTGGGGGTTCATTGTCGGGGTGTCAGACTTACGCCGTGACAAATCGTTGCTCGTTGCGCCTGGTGTGGGGGGGGGGGAGAATGGGTGGGGCGTTCTTGCGTTCTAGTATCAACAGGATAAAATAAAAGCGCGAGTTCTTCCTTTTGTAAAAAAGAAAAATAAGAAAGTGATTGTATTCACGCTTGTTCGAGATGTCAATTATAGTATTCATCACTATGGGAGTGGGAATGGAAAAAAAGAGATCCACGATTCTCCTATTTAGTGTACGTTTGTGTTTTTCTTCTCCTGTTGGGCAGTGTGTATTGTCCTGTTGGGGATTGTGTATTATTCGATTGGGAATGGGGTATACTCTCATTGGGGAGAGTGTTTTTTCTTTGTTGTTTGTGTGTTGTAATTGTGCTCTCTATGCTAACTTCGTTCCGCTTGGTAGGCCTCTCTTTTCCGGCTAGTGAGTCGGATGAAATTATGTGTTTATTGTTATAACATCTATCGTTTTTTGAAAAAAAAAAAAATCTTAATTTCCCACGAATCAAATCCTATTTTTTCATTTTCCTCATTTGGTGCAACTCTCAATTCGTCTCTCTCGTCGAACTACATACTTAAATCTTTTCTCCACTTTCGTAACATATCTTTAGTGATATACTAGATTAGGTGTGACTAACGTTAAGTCAAGTCATTCTTTTTGTTAGTGTTATATATTGAAAGCTTGGCTTGGATGATATTACACTTTTACCCTTTATTAATGAGAAACATGTTAGATTAAACAAGTTCTACGTTATGTTGTTTTGCATTAGATAGTGTTGGTCGTCATCAAGCGAGCCGAATATCATTTTATCAGTTACTCGCGAAACAAGAATTAATGGTTCACAACCTAGATGGACATGAACACCCCATCAGAACGGTTGTAGTGTCAATTGTACAGTTTGTCTTGACTGATTAGTTGCACTAGTACATTTATGTATTGAACAGGATCCCAGAGAGGAGCAGTTAATTTTATACTAATCGTCGTAAACGAACTAGGTCTCGGTTAATTACTGCGTGCTCTTAACCCGTAAGATATTAAAAATATATATATGTGTAGTATTTATTATTTTGATTCACATGGGTGAGGTTTAGTGAACTGGACCAGTAGACCCTCTGTCTTGGGTAATATTTCTACATGTATGATGTGTTGTTAGAATATTTACGGTCACCATGTACATTTAGTTTGATGATGTTCCTATAGTGAGTTCATTAAGGATTATCATGCTAAACCCTGCAGGTGGATTAAATTCCGGCATAGTAGGAATTTTATGAACGAGCGTTAGCTTTGGTGAAATAAAGATTAATTAATTAATTCTTGATTGTTAGTAATCGAATTAATTAATGAATACTATATATCTTAAACATGGGGAGATAAATCGAGTAATTATTATTGGAGTCTCAATTGTAAATTGGGCTAGGAAAAAGTGGTGCAATAATATTATGTTGGTGGTCTATTTAATATTATTTAATTAATTAGAATAAGTGGGCTGACCCCATGTTTTGTGACCCGGACCGGCCCGGCGGGTCGACCCGGGACCCGGTCGACCCGGAGCCGGAACCGGTCCGGGTGGGTAAATTAGACCGGGAAACAACGGACCCGGTCAAACCCGGTCAAAACCCAGTCGACCCGGCCTTGACCCGGTCGACCCGGGGCATTGACCCGGCTGGGTCAACCCGGTTGACCCGGTCTATATGTATTTTTTTATTTTTTTTTGTTTTTTAATTTTCTTTTTTTTTTTAAAAAATAAAATTAAGTATATATATTTGTATGATAAATATATACATATTATTACCACTTTAA